TCTTCCACCTATCAATAAGGCTTTGGATGTACTAGACTTATATATTTCTATTTAAATGATGAGATTTTGGATGATTAAAAAAAATTAAGGTTACAAGAAACACAATCTATCTAAGGATTATACTTTTCTAATCAAGATAATTCTAAAATAATTGGATTGGATGGAGATCTTATTATATTAAATATTGCTATGCTGTTATGATCTTTAATTATTACATCTAAAAAAATAGTCTTTTACGTAACATCTCTAGAAGATAGCAAAAGACTATCTATGACTTCTATATGTATGGATTTAATTTTGTTGACTAACAATATCTCTTATTTTTTAACAAAATCTTCATCTATATAATAGGTTGAGCATCTTGAATCTAACAAAGCTAAGACTTTGTAATTTTTTGGTCCTAAATAAACTTCTATATAAAAACAAGGTGAGGGATCTGAAAAGAGAATAAGACCTTTATTAGGAGTAATGCAAGATTTTAGCCACATAATTCCTATTGTAGTTAAAAACACTTGTTTTCTGATACATTGTCTTTTTTCACAACCATGCCTCTCATTTTGTGGTTGCATTGTTTTTTTGGATAATGTTGAGTAGTGTGTTTAATTTCTTCATAATATAAGCATAAATCTTCTTAATGTTGTCAAGTCTTTTCTTACTTTTTAAGAGATTTAAAACATATTGTATTAATTTGTATTGATTCAAGCCTTGATAAATAAGTTTTTAAAAACTTAGAAGCTACCATCATTATTTGACTTGTTCTTCTCTAGCTAAATCTTTATTTTTTAAATCTTTCAAATAGCCAATTATGACATGCAATGGCTTGAGTAATAAATTCTTTAAAAGATTCTACTTTTGGCATTATTAATAATAAATCTTTAATATTATCTTTCAATTCATATTGAAATTAATTGATAAAGATTTTATCATTCTAGTCTACATTGTAAGCAAGGTTTTGAAATTTAGTAGCATATATGGTGGCTGACTGCGATCCTTGCCATAAAAATAAGAGCATGGTCTCTAGTACTCTTTCTCAACCACTTTCTCCAAATATGGCTGTAAATACTTTTAAGAATGAATTCAAATTATAATAAAGTTATAAATCCTTTTTCATTAAAGTTACAAATCAAAAAATAATACTTCCTGATGAAAGTGTGCCTATAAATCTGACTTGAGTAAATCCATCAAGGTATTGGAAGAAATGCAAGTGCAGATAGAACTTGACTTATTATAAAAATCCTCAAAATTTTGATCTTATTCCATTAATCTTCTCAGGCATAATAATTCTTATCCCCATCATACTTGTAGAAGCAAAACTTCTTAGGTTTGATTGTAAGATTGATCTGCTTGCTTCTTTTCAATTTTACAACTTTTTAATGCAGACTCTAAATTTCTTCCATAGGCATAGGAATAGTACCTTCATGATTCACATTGAAAATATATAAGATTTGTATTCCTAGAGTGTTGCCAAGCTCATGAAGATTTGCAATAGTTGCAAATCTATTCTCACTTCTATTAAGAGTAGCATCAATAATCTTTCCTTCCATAAACAACTCAAATAAATTTAAAAAGTCAAATTAGAGGAGAATAATCTACAACTTTTAACATCAAATAAAAATTTCTATAGAGAAGAATAATCTACTCTTTTTAAGAAAAAAATTAGTGTTAGAAAATAAGATTATTCATTTAAAGGTGGATAGTTCGTAACCTTTAAAATACAACAATAGAAGGTTTGATAATCCACTTACTTCTAAAATAAGATAAAAATAATAAGTTAGTACTCTTATCAAGTTTTCAAAGATATAAATCTTGAAAAAAAATAAATCCTTAATACACTCTTATGTCACTCAAAAGAACTAAAAAATCACTCAAAGATGATATGATATTAAACTAGAATGGCTATTGCCAAAGACAAGAAGAATAGAAAGTCTTGAAATAAGACTAAAGAGTAGAAAGGCATTGAGAAGAGTGAAGAAGGCTTCACTCTTGCTTCCATATATATTCTTAACTAAGAGCTATGTGGCAATGTCCTATAAGACCTCCAAAACGTATTGAATTTATAAGAGAGGTATCTTAACTTACAAGGCAAGTTTTTCATATGTATGCCACATAATTAATTTATCCTGCAATCTATCAATACGTGATTAACTTGTTAACATAGTTTCTAACCTATCAATCAACTACAAATACATGTAAAGTCAAAGTAGTATCTATGAAGCTTCTAGAAGCTTCTCTGAAAAATATTATGAAATAAATTTACTTTTATCTACTTCTACTTAATCATATAAGTAAATATTAGAATAAATATGGATGTCTGTGATAAAACATTGTAGTCTATGTTATAAGAAGGAGAATATATGACAAGAAAAATCACATAATTATTATATTATTAAAATTTGGTATTGTATCTAAGATCATTAAAAGTTTATATTCACTAATTATCCAATAATGTATTGAGATATCTACAAGACAAGGCAAAAATTGAAGATAATAATTCTTAGGGGTAAATATCTAATCAAAGCTTATTGAATATTCTTATTAAAAAAGAACTAAAGTATGATATCTAAATTAATGAAAATAGCCAACTATTGCAATTCTTCTTTATACCAAAAAAATGCTAAGGAAGTAGCTAAAAAGCATTCACTAAATTTCGTCAATCTTCTTACTTGTATTTATAAGGCAAATAAATAATCTTTTCAATTTTAAAGGATAGTAATGTACTAATTGTATCTAGTATGTTTGTACTCACTTTTGATTATTCTTGAATTAAATAAGTATCAAATATTGTTCTTTTATTGGATGAGATTTTCTTCTATAAATCATTTCTTCCTATCAATTTATTGCTTATTCAATGATGAAAAAGAATTTTATTATAGATGGATTTTGGAGTAAATGAAGTAATATTTTGGAAACTACTTTTTTTAGGACTATCTGATTTTTTTCATGCATTAGGATTTAGCATTAATGATTTTTATTTTGAACTTATTTTTGAAAGCTAAAATATTACTTTATTTTTGACATATGTATAAAATATTCTTATAAATGTAAGATCTAATATTATAACAAATGATATATTCAACAAGTTTATGACAATATAATAAGCATTGTACTATAGTAAGATTGAGAAAATATATATAGCTATTTGGGCCAATATTAAAATATTGATTGTGTAATTTGTATGTAAATATCTAAAATATTATTGGCTAATTTATAAGAAAATTTAAAATAAATATATAAAAGTATATCAATTTGAAATAAAATAGTTATTTTTTTAACAAATAAAACAAGTAGAAATTCGTTTTTAAAAGCTTTTTTTTGTTAAAAATATACATCATCTCTAATATTATTTTTAAACCTTAAAAAATAATTCACAGATAAAAAACTTGGTTTTATTGCTCTTTTAGATTTAAAAATTGAAAATAATTATACAAAATAAAGTTACATATATAAAAAAAATGAAAAATTCACATTGGATATAAAAGGCCATTAGTCTAATGTATCTATATAAAAGTTTTAATTATTATGAACATCTTTTTAAACATTCTAGAATTTTTTTAAATCCCATAAATATTTTTTATTTTTTATTTTTTATAGATTTGTAAAAGCCTCCAAAGCCTATTAAAATCTTCCATATAATCTCAAAGTCTTTTATAGCTACCTAGAAGTTTTTAAAAATATTTTATAGACTTTTATTACATTTATAGTTATTTAAGATTTTTTTATAGTAATTGAGAAGCTCCCACAAATGATTTTTTATACTTTTAAGATGTTCCATAATTCTTATAACCTCCTTTAAAGCTTCCATATAATCTAGTTACTAAGGCATAAACAAAAGAGAAAAATAAAGAGCATTTTAGTTTTTCTACTATAAGTTTTGGAGCAATAAATCACATTGTTTTAATCTTGTATCTAGTCTTATTTTTCTAATTTACTATTTTATTTTTCCAATACTTCTTCATTTATTGGTTTCCACTCCTTACATCCTTAATATAATAAATTCACTTATAAGCATTTATAAGCACTACATCTTCAGAAAAAAAAAAAAAAAAAAAAAAAAAAATGCATTAACATGAAGAGAGCTGCCAAGGTGATTATTTGATGCATTAGAATTACAAAGCCAAAATAGATGATATTCTCATCTAGGGCCAATCTCTCATTTGCCACAGAAGTGCCACTTGGCTCATGGAATAATATCACCGAAAAACTGGCGGAGTTTAACCTTTTAAGGAGCATTTTATCAACTTGGGGATATTGAATTGAAGAGTATATTCGTTCTGCTGATGTTTGTTATTACAATAAATAGCACTTGCGTGAGAAAACATAGGAATTCAACTGTAGAATGGTGTGTTAGAAAAGCCCCATTTTCGATTGACATCGTCTGTTTTTTTTTCATGCACACATGCATAAACAGGGCATCATGGGACATATGAGGAATGGTCTGAAAGAATTCGGTGTGTGGGTGTGACTTAACATGAGTGATCGAAGATCACCGCGGTGTCAATTCGTGAAGGAGCCACCAGCACCAGTGTGGTGCATATACGATATCTCCCGGCGAAATCTGAGTTGCTTTTGGTTGCAGATTGCCGGTTATAAGAATTTTACCGAGCAAAATTTAAATACGTACCAGCAATTTGTCCTCGTTACTGCACATGGTCGATTCCATGTCAACCATTTGAGAAGACCTGTCACCTACTGGCAGCTGATATTCATTTATCTGGAGCGTTGATAACTGGAGGAAAGCTGATTGAATTATATTGAACGTTTGTCGATGGGTGGAGCATTTCTATAGAAATATAGCGCTCATGACTCTTGACCTGGAATCCGAAGCCGAATAATGTTGATGGCGATTGTTCGAGGAAAATATTCCGAGATTTACACTCACCTGTGAAGCTCCACTAGCATGGCGCCACCAGAATCGGGTGCACCAGCTTCTTCACATCTACCCTCACAAGTTTCCTGCCTCCCGGATTCACAATTTGCGGTTCGAATAAACAGTATAAGTGCGTCATTTCGTAGCATCGGCTCACTCATGAGGTGTTGTGTTCGGAAACGCACTTGGCTTTTTGGCTTGGACAAACTAGAAGTTTTACTGTTCAGGTGAGTTAGTGGAAGTCGGTACTAGCTGTGGGAAGAATCATGTGGCAGAATTTGTGACATCTACGAATCCTCGACAGTTAACGAAGAATTGGTCTCGCGCTACACCATGCAAATGACTCTCCAACCACCACAACACAATTTCGCAAGGACATCACAAATCAAGCAGAGTCCAAGTAAGACGGAATTCGAGATGGCGCCGATGATCGCAATGCACAGGGCAGTGCAAGTGAGAAATGTTGAATTGGAAAAGTCAGAGTCACTGACAAACAGAGTGCAAGTGGCGATGGTGCCGACTCCGAGGGCGCTGCCTGGTGAAGTGGTGGTGCACATGCTGTGTCGGCCGGTGCATCCCGCGGATCTATTAAGCATTGCCGGGACGTACCCGCCGTGGCAGCCACCGTGCCTGCCCGCAACTGTGGGCCTTGAGGGCATGGGCGTCGTTCATGAGGTATAACATTTCAGCAACCACCTTCCAATTCTTCATGCTTTGTTTCGAATAATATTTTTCGCAACACATTGCAGAAGTCGTTGACAATGACCATCGTGTGACGAATTGCTGGTGGACTCTTCGATAAGCTGGGGGATGGGGTTGAGGAGGAGTATGGATTGAAAGAGGGTCAAAGAGTTTTTCCGTACATTCCCCGGCCAGACTTGGTGGGACAAGGAAGTTGGCAAGAATTCGTGGTCGCACCGGCTCAGGATGTCTTCCCTATCCCTGACTGCGTCTCTGACGACCTAGCGTCCCAGTTTTACGTCAATCCATGGTCAGGTACGCAATTTAGAAATGTGCAACCACCGGATTTTTGCCTACAACTTCGCAACCTCTCAACGAATTGATCTCAGGGGTTAGATGAAGCGGTAGTGTTAACTATTTGAAATTGATCCAGCTCTGGCGATGCTGCGGGAACTCAACCCCCAGAAGGGAGACTACATCATTCAATCGGCAGCTGCGTCGACGCTTGGGCGCATGATCATTCAAGTGGCTCACTACTACGGCTTCAAAGTACCGTTCGCCTTTCATGACCTTATTCCCCTGTGAAGAAAACAGGTCACTTTGTTAGTCAAGAATCTTAACTCAAGATTCATGCTGCCCATTGCGGTTCTGTCGTTGAGCAACTAGTGTACAGGTGACACTAACTAATTGAGTCAGTGACGGAAGCAAAGTATTTCTGTTTGTCCAGACGATCAACTTGGTACGACGCAATGATCAAAAAGCAGAACTGAAGGAGCTCGGCGCCGACGAGGTGATCAACTACATGGAAGAGAATGTGGTTCAGCGGGTGAAGAAAGTCACGAAGGAGAAGATGGCCCACGGTGGACTCGACTGCATCGGCGGGAATTTCACCAAGGTAATTGATTCGATTTCGAAACTTCTCCCACATAGGATCTAAAAGCTCCTGTTTTCCTTGAGTCCAAATTGTGTATCCATTTCTGATCCGTGAAAGGCGTAATCACTTGAGCACGATCCAGACCGTGATGTCGAGTGTTGCAAAAGGAGGTTTGGTGCTCGTCTATGCGTCTTTGGGGGGTAAAACTTTGCAGCCAGGGCTGGCCAACCTCATGTTCCGAGACGTGCGCTTGCATGGATTCTGGCTCTCCAACTGGCTTAACCGTCTCACCACGGAGGCGCTTGACGAGTTCAGCGAAACTGTGATGAAGCTTCTGGCGAGTGGCGTCTTTCAAACACAGACCGCAGATGTGTTTCCCCTCGCTCTCGTCGAGCAAGCTATCATCCGGAGCCAGGTACTTCTTCCTCACCATTATATGCAAAGTTTGGGCAACGGTTGCGTAGATTCGGCATGCCGCAAGCTTCACAATGTTCGTTATGGTTTCCTTCTTCAGCATTTACTGATGCGTTGGATTTGCAACACTCCAGGAGGTTGGAAGGGCAGGAAAAGTTCTCCTCGTGAATTAGACGGAGATGTGCGATGGCTACACCTTTCGAGAGATTACTCGGGGATCCTTCTTCTTCTTCATCTGCTAGCCTGCAATTCGAGAATGCCGAGCACGGTGAAAAACCATGACCTAACATGGATCTCCACCTGCTTCATTGTTAAGTTATTAGATACAAATCTTTCCGAAAAGATTTGGGTGCTTTAGGAATCAATAGATACATATATATATATATATATATAAATAAAATGGAAGGCATGGTTTTGCTCTTGTCTCAGAAGGAGCCCATCCTGTACAAGTGGACATGAACATAATAAAACATCGGTGGATTATAAAACCAAAAGCAATGGCTTGAATGTATCAATCCACCTCCTTGATCACATCTAAGTTTAATTATCTCCCTCATCAGAAGCACATCTCTGCCTCGTCGAACACGTCAATATTACCCATCCTTTGTAAAGGTTCCTTTATTCATCTTTTTAATTTATAAAAAAAAAAAAAAAAAAAAAAAAAAACACACACACACACACACACACACTCATATGATGGTTTTTAGATTTACATGAAATTATTATTAATTAATGAAATTTTCTTATCCCTGACTAAAAGAATAAAGTTTTTTTAAAAAATAAATTATAGTTATTTGTGAGTTAATTTTTAAAACATTTACAGATTATTTCTTATTTTTTTAATAACCTTAAATATTTATAATTCTCATAAAATATAGATTTACAGACTTAAACAAAAATGAATATTTATGTAAAATATCTTACAAATAATATTTTATGATTGGTTATGTAGTTTACAATTTACATTTACCTAATGTGGATTGGCACCCAATGCTATGTCATATAAAGTATGTATAAAATTTTAATTTTTTAAAAAATAAATTATTCATTTAAAAAAATACGTTTTTTTATTGATTGTTTTATAAGTCAAATAATATAACATAAAAATTAAATATTTACGCATAAAAATGTTAAGAATGAAAATAAATCTTTATATTATAACAGCGTCAAAATCATAGAGAAATCGCATACGTTTTCTCATTTCACTCCAATAATTATTCACTACAGTCGAAGGTTTTGACGGCATGTGGATGAATGATATTTGGGCGTTGGACGAAAAATTCATCCATCTGATAAGTGGCACTGCACAGATATAGAGAAGTAAACGAATGCGGATGAAAATCAAGTCCGTGCACGTTTCATCGCGAGAAACCCTAAAATGGCTGTGTCTCGCAAGCATTCGTGTCGTTGTTGCCTTAGCAGTTCGATTAGGGTCTTCGTGAATCTCCAATGCAGCGATGGCTGCCCGATCTCCTCTGTTGCGCTTGCTGCGCAGTTCTTCTCATACCGTGATACCTTCTGCACCTCGCGACTGCATCGCTTCGCATGCCTCGGTGAACCAAGCCTACAATACTGCTTTTTCGGGCTCCTTCTTTCAGCAATGCCGTTCCTTCGTGCAGATGCGGACGCGTCTGGAAGTCGCTGACAACTCCGGGGCGAAGCACGTCTCGTGCATCAAGGTCCTGGGCGGGGGCAAGCACGGGAAGATCGGCGATATCATCATCGCCTCTGTGAAGGACGCCGTGCCGCGGGGGAAGGTGAAGAAGGGAGAGGTTGTGAACTGTGTGATTGTCCGTGCCGCAACGCAGAGACAGCGCAGCGATGGAAGTGAAATTAGGTTTGATAAGAATGCAGTTGTTGTAGTGAACAAGCAAGGGGAGCCTATAGGGACTCGTATCTTTGGGCCCGTTCCTCACGAACTGCGAGTGAAAAATTTTATGAAAATTTTGACGTTGGCTGATCACGTCACATAGAGGAATTAGTCATGTCTATTTCATTTTTTATGTAGTGATTTTCCTCTACTTATATGTTTCTCGGTGTTGTTTGACTCCCCTAAATCCTGGTGTCAGCAATAGGACACGGAAATGCTGATTAACCTGTGTAGAGTTTCGCTAATTACGACTCTCAACATTTTTTTTGAAGAATTGTTCGAGCTGAACCAATTCAGGTGTCTTTATTTCTGTTTGTGTGAGAAGAATTAGATTCTCCAGGTTAGTGATAACCACATTGGCATGTGGATTTCAGTTGTGTTGTTGTTTTCTGACCTAATGTGATATTTCATGGATCAACGTTTTGCCTGCACACTGAATTTGAAGTCCCATGTGGTAGTTAATATGCCTCTGTAGGCAATAGCATTTCATCCGTTTCAAAACTTTGAGGACATTTGCATGAGTTGTGAATTAGCATTATGCTCTCTGAAGGTCTGTTTTTGTGCTTTATAGGGTAGCTCCCTTCGTCATAGTGGGAGAGTCTGTAAGGTATGAATGCATGAATTTCATGAAGCTTCTGCCTCAATTTGAACTATCCTTTTGACCTTCATTGTGCTTCTGTACCAATACAGTGTTGCAGAATGTACCGTTCAACCCGACATACTGAGAGATGGCACTGGCACTAGGTATTTGCGTAGTCTTCAGTGAAACATTCTATCTTGTTTATTTCAAACATGCTGGCAGTTTGCTCATACTTTAGTAGCACACTGAATATCTACAGACAAATCAAATTTACCAAATGTGCATCTCTTGTGGTGTATTGGTTGTGAGACGACAAATCCAATACTTGGGTAAACATGGGACTTATGAAGGACACATAATCCTTTCATCAGTCAAACTCATTTCTTTTCTTTATCCATTTTTTGCTTTAGAAAAGTTAAGTTTGGAGCCTAGGTCAAGGTTGCTAGTTTTGGTAATAAACATGGTGGTGCTACAATATTAAAATTTCAAATTCTAAATATTACCTGTTTATTTTAAAGCTCTTGTGAATTTAAATAGTTACCACTTAGAAAAATATAAATGCCTTCTTTGTTAATTTAAATTACTAAACTAGGAAATATGTTGAAATTCAATTTTCATTTGGTGCCATTAAAATTTTGTCAAGTGTTACCTTGATGATTCTTCAAAATGATTCAATTGCTAATTAATCACTTGTTTGGACAATATCTAAAAGAAACAAGAAACAAAGTGAAGTAAATTAAAGTATTTTTTTTCAATGTAGTTTTTTAATTAAAACTTCTTAGGTCTTCAAAGACTTTGTTGGCTTTTGCTTATAATCAAAACTTGATTATGATGTGAAGATTGATCACAACTTAAGGTGATTTTATCGTGCTATATATTTGTCCAATGTTATAAATAATTGTGTTTGATTGTATATTTTATAAATATAATCTTTTCAGACAATCATGTAGTATCTAATGCAAATATCAAAGTACACCAATCACTTCTAAAGTATTTATGATGCTTATTTTATTAAAAAAATTAATATTTTTTTAATTTTTTTTTCTATAGAAGATTTTGTGATTTGCTTTGTAAAAACTTCTAAAACACTTTTGTAAACATATCTTTAAATACTACTTTAATTGGTTTTGATAATTCTACCAAAACCATTTAAGTGTATCTTAATGTATCAATAAATTTTATTTTTGTTTTATTTACATATGTTAAAATAAATTATGTCCATTCAAACCTATAATGATTTTGAAAGAACAAGTTATATTAATATAAATAATCCATCATCTATATCTAAGATTAAATGATTTGTATTTTTAATCATATTCACAAACAAATTCAACTCTATACTTCAACTCATGAATTAACAATTATACATCAAATATATTATAGATTAAAAAAAAAATTATTTAAATAATTAACAAAAAATTATAATTTCTAATAATTTTTGTTATTAATATTTTAAACCTTGTTGAAAAATAAATATTGAAAAGGTTTTAAATTTCTATTACCAATTTATGTAAAACATCTAAAAGAATTCAAGAAGAAAAGTACTACATGAAGTTTTGTTGAAATAATATTATTTGCAATCAAGCAACAAGGATTTTATTTAATTCGTTTTATATAGCTAATTCAATCTCATTTACTCAATACACACATAATCTTTCTTTTTAATTTTCCTAAATTTATTTATTTATTTAGATAAAATTCTTGTAAATTAATTTATTGTTATTATTATAATTATTATTAATATCCAAATATCTTTGTTCAAATTAAGCAACATACCTTATTATTGGATCTATTAGTACCAAAAGTTGTCATTTAACTGTATAATTTTTTAAAGTCTCACTTCTAATACACTCTCTTCACAATACTAAATCAAATTCTTTATCTAATATAAATTGCAAAAATAAGTACTTTGAACAATTTTTCTTTCTATGTCTAAAACCATCTTCCTACTTCATTTGTTGTTAAATGATATCTTGGTAATAAAAAGTCTACTATGGACAATAAATAATGGATAATTCAAGTTACTAATAGATGTCATTTAATAACTTATTCTAATCTTATCTACACTAAGTAATATATTCTATAATCAATAAATTTATGTTTCAAGTATATAGACAATTAAGCATGTTAAGATAAGGTCTCTTTCTTGGTTGCTTTTTCCAAACGTAGCAATAAATACTTTAAAAAATGAATTCAAATCATACAAAAGTCTTCTATTTTTTTCTATAAAAGATGTAAATCACAAAAGAACACTTTTAAAATAGAAATGTGTCTATAAATCCTACTTGAGTGATCCTTAATATAATAATCTTTTGCTTCTTTATGATTGATTTCATCTATACATATAGCAATAGTATTTCTATAGTTATTGAAAAAACATTGAGAGCTTCAATGTCAAGGTTCTAGGATCTCTCCAACATGAACTAGTTTTGATTTGACAACAAATACACTCTTGTATAAGAAGTATAAGAGAAGATGAACCAATCTTGGACTTAGAGGCTCCAAGTTGGTGTTATACCACACCAAGGTATGTTTAGGACTTTTTCTCCTATAGATTTGTATACAAATCAAATATTACCTATTTACAATATCTTATTGGTCTAGCAATAATGATCTATGTATCAAAGACTACTATTTTTATTGCAATATATCAAAGAAGAATCTACTAGAGGTAATATGATAATATATACATGAAGATATATTATAATGCCTAATAAGAAAATTATCAGTAACTCCTATATTTTCTTTGATTTTAAATTTTTCTTGGTTTTGACACTTAAGATTTCATAACACCAACTACATTGCTTGCTTTTGATTTGAAAAGCATTCTTTGTCCACAACAAACAATACGTAAGAACATGACTTAAAATCGTCAATCTCTCTATTTTATAGATTAGAAAATACTAACAAATCCAAAAGAAAAAAGTAATTGGAAATATTGCATAAGTAATTCAATGAAGACTAGCTTTCATTACTACAAAATATTCCTTTAGATAGCATTAGTTTTGTCATAATACCTCAAGGTGCTTAAGATATTATAATTTAAAAACATTTCAAAAATCTTAGGATCTTTCATTGATAAGACATATTTTTAAAAAATCAAGATAATTGGAATAAGCAATTTATATAAGTGATGAATCAAAATGTTCATAATTACTATAAAACACGATTTTCATTTCAAACTTGTAAAATGCTATAAGTGATTGAAAGAAAAGGGTGTAAAAAATAATACAAGAAATTAAAAAGAAAATAGAATGGAATGGAATTTTATACACAAAAATTGACATTATAATATGGGAACAATATTTTGTAAGATCAAGTGCATACTTTTTTAGATGAATGAGGGCATATTGTCAACTTTTGACCTTTGTTATCTTCTAGCAAAGGGCACTTGTCTCCTAACCTTTGTTATCTTTCAATTAAGGTTACTTCTTGTCTTTTGACCTTGATTGTCTATTAATAAAGAGGACTTGTTATCTTCCAATATCCATCATCTTTCAACACCCTTTTTTGCATTCATTCTTGTCGAAGGTTCTCAAAAAAAATAAGTTAAAAAACTATCATCCTAATTTTTTTACTTAGTTCTATGTAGTATTTAACTTTAAATTTATACTAATTGAAAAGATTGTATGAAATAATGATGGTTTAGCAGGGCAAAATATAAGACTTTTTAAATTCTTGAAGAAGAAAAAAATAGAAGTAATCTAGTTTAATTAGAATTTCTAATTCCTTTGAAAGACTTAAGGCTAAGCTTTGATTTGTAATTTTTAAATTTACTTCTATTCAAGGCTTTGGTTAAAATGTCTGCTGATTGATTTGCGATTTTAATAAACTCAATTTTTATCATATTATCTTCTATCTTTTGTCTTATAAAGTACTTATATATTTCAATTTATCTTATTTTATTTTATTTTTATTTTTTTGAAAGAATATGTTCTTTGATATTTTGATGCTACTTTGATTGTTACACCAAATTATTACAAGTTTTTTTTTTTTTTTTTTTTTTTTTTTTTTATCAACACCTAACTTATTAATTAGTCTTTTTAACCAAATTTCCTTGGAAATTGTAATAGGATTTTAAGATGAAAGATAAAAATATGGCTTATATTTTAGTAAAATGTAGATGAAAAATAAAGAGGTAGTAAACACATTTACTTTTAATGCTACTTTTATATATAAAAAAAAACTTATATTTATTGTATAGAATTATAAATAAGATAAAATAAATTAAATTAGAAAAAAAAATATAAGCATCTTTAGGAGGGAGTTAAGAATAGTTTCTAATAAAAATTACCTCAAAAGCTAGAAATTAATACCTTGAGAAGATTGATTGTGAAATGGAATCAAAACCAAACCTTGAGATATAAACAACACATTTAGGATAATTTTGGCATTTTTTTAATTGATTTAAGAGACAAATATAACAAGACACTTTTTAAGGTTTGATTGAGAATTTATTTTAAGTAATTTAGATTAAATTTAAAATTTTGAGAGATTTTCAAAATTAAAGATATATTAAGTAGTTTGGGTTGTTGAAATATAAAAGAGAGGTTATATATTTGAGAATTTTGTGAGCATTCTAATATGTTTATAAGTAAAAATTTATAGACTTTTGCATCTACTTGTGCTTAATTTTTTTTGTGAATTTGAAAGCAATCTAATAGTGTTGTATTGTAGGACGACTATCAAGTGAAAGAAAAATGGAAGGATTATTTTATAAAAAAACTTAATTGAATTATAAAAAATAAATATATAGACATAAATGAGACAAAAAAGAGATAAGAAACACAAATAATATAGGCATCGTTAGAAAGGATTTAAGAGTAGTTTGTAGCAAAGATAACCTTAAGAAATCAAGAATTGATACTTGGAGAGGACTAATTATGAACCATGGTCAAAATCAAATCCTAAGACAAAAAACCATGCATCCATGGAAATTGTAAGATCCTTTGGTTGATTAAAGAGTGAGGCTAAAGAAAAAACTAAAAAGAGATTTTTTATGCTATCATTATGAATGATTTAAGATTTTCATGACTTTATTAAGACTTTGAAAAGTTATGGTTGTTTTTGGATGGCTTTAAATTTTAATAAATATACAGAGTTTATACTTTGAAAAATTGTGTGAGAATGGTTGATGATATACAAGTGGAATTTTTTAATTAAGTGACTATTATTGTATTAAATGCATGTTGTAAGTTTGAACTTGATCATATAATTTATTTGAAGGTTATTTGAATTTCAAAGTATTGGGATCTTTAAAATTTGAGTTTAAAAGACTAGTGAGGGTTTCTAAAATTTACAAAAATATGTAATTGGATGGATATAAATTTTTTTATACTAATACTAGACTTGATTTGTAACAATTAAATAAAGTTTGAAATACATTGGATAGAGAAATCTAGAGAAATTTGAGCAAGAAGATTGACATGAAGATTGAAAAAGGAGGCCGACCAATACTTAAAGGGATTAAAGAGTTTATCTTCAAATTGGTAAATTTGATCTTCTTGAAATTAATTGTCTTTATTTTTAACAAAGCAATTAAATGGTATAAAAATTTTGAGTAAAAATCTATAGTTAAATTATTAATTATTGAGATTTCAATGTGCAATAAGATTAGTTGAAATTTTATTTTGGATTTAAATTTTGATTAAGATTTAATTAGGATTGATTTAATATTTAATATTTGATTAAGAATTTATTAGGATTTGATTTAGTGTTTAAGATTTAATTTGGATTTATTTTAGGATTTAGGATTTTATTAAGATTTGGTTGAAATTTCATTATAATTTGTTTAAAATTATACTAAAATTTGATTAAGTTTATATAAGATTTGATTAGGATTTTTTGAAGATTTCATTAAAATTTACTTATGATTTATTTAAAGTTTCTATTATTATTATTTTTTATTATTTTTATTTTTGATATTTATTTATAATTTTTATAAAGTCCTTTATGATTTATTTAAAAATTTATTAGGATTTCTTTATGTTCTTTTTATAATTTCTTTGAGACTTGTTTTAAATTTAATTATGATTTAATTTGAATTTATTTAGGATTCTATTAGAATTGTTAGAACCTTGTTGTTACAATTTCCAATTTATCTTCCACAAAAAAGTGTCTAGTGCATTCTCAAGCAAGGTTTCAAGTTATGACAATAGTTGGATGAAAGATTATTGAAATCTATTTGGATTAGGATCTTAGAACTTGGGTTTCAAGGATTAATAAAGGTTTCTTTAATCTTGAGTGATTTGGAAGTTGGGTTGAAGCAAATTATTATAAGAGGCTTATAAACTTTGTTATTAATAATTTTTTCAAATTTGAATACAAGTAAATGGTTCAATAAGGAATTATTGATGTTGGAAGATCAACATCAAGGTTGGATAAGAAGCTTTTCTTCCCAATTGTTTAGTTGGATTCTTTTATAAAATATTGTACTTATTATTAACCATCAGATTGCAATATGTGAAATTTTTTAAGCAAGATCAATGACTTAATCAATAGTTATTTAAATTTTAAGATTTTCTTATGGTTAGTTAGAACTTGTTACATATTTGACATGATTTTATTAGGATTTGAAGAATATCTTTAAGGTTTTTTAAAGTTTCATTTGAATTTATTTAAGATATTATTAGTATTTTTAAATTTTCATTTAGAAATTTATTAGGATTCGGTTAGAATTCACATAGAATTTATTAGTATTTGTTTAGGATTTAATTAGATTTTTCTTGGGATTTAATTAAGATATTTTAAGGATTTACTTAAGAATTCTATAGGATTTCTTTATATATTTTTTAGTATTTTATTTTATAATTTTAATTTAGGATTTCTTTATAGTTTCTTTGGAATTTATTCTTTAGTATTTATATGATTATATTATGAATTCTTTAAGATTTCTTTTAATGCTCTCTATAATTTTTTTGATGTTTTTATAAATTATTTAATGATTTTATAGAATTTCTTTAAGCTTATTTAGGATTTGATTAAGGTTTGATTATAGTTTTTAAGATTCAAAAAAAAATTCTTTAGAATTTTATTATTATTTGTAGGTTTTATTTTGTTGCAAATATAATTTGTCTTCTACAACCAAATGTCCAATGCATTCCCAAGTTAATTTTTACACAACATGATAACATACATCTTATAAGGGCTTAATATTTTGACCCTTAAGAAATCCATGATGTTGAATTTGTTTATTTATTTATTTCTTAAACACAATAATGTGTATGTTGAATTGCCTGTAAACATATAGGCATTGGTTGAAACTCTACCATCTAAATCTCTTCTATAATTTGTATCCAAAAAATCTTGAAGTGAATTCTCTTTTCTTTGCAAAAACCAAAGACCAAAAAATGGATATTTTTGGAGGTAGGTGACAATTTTTTGTCCAAAATCATGGTGGAGTTGTTGAAAACGACACATGTATTAGCTTAGAATAGCCGTTTGTTGACTTGTTTGTTTTAAGATTGTAGACTTAAGGTCATAGACCTCTCCTCCCTTGTTTTATTTTTGCACCTTATATTTAAGGTCCTTCATTCTAACAATGAATGTCCTCATCTTATTTTCAAGTGATTTTGTTCTTTTCAAATTCTTTTGTTCTATTCTAGATCTTTGTTGTAGCCTCCAATAGCAATTGGATTTATCACTATAGAGGTAGCCTTCTTGATTTGAGTTTCAGTATATCAATAGAAGTGTGAATTACCAAAAAACTTATTGAGTATTACACGTTGAAAAGTCTCCCTTCCAATTACAACACTAGCACTTCTATTGCTTGGAAAAATCTTTTAGTAATTATAATGCTAAATTACATTTCACACGGCTATTCATGGCACTTAAGACAATATGTTTGTTGCATTTTTCGAAATCACTCATGACTTGATTTGGTGTGCTCATAGAATAACTGACAAGGCCATCTCTAACTGACAAGGCCATCTCACACTTCTGCCTAACGGTCGGTCTATCAACCTAAGCTTTAAAATCATATAAATATGTGCAAGTGATTAAAAGAGAAGTGAAACATTGTCCCGAAGAAGGAATCACTCACTTCTATACAAATGCAGCATCAGGACATTCGTAATAAAGCTTTCCAAGTTAAGCTTTAACCTCGCAAAGTTCAAGCTCAGCCTTCACAACAGCATATTCCTTCATGGCACGCGTAGATCCAAGATCCAGCCCCTCGATTTCGGCATCCCCCATTTCCTGCAAAATAGTACGCATTTCATCCCATTCAGGACTGACTCCTACCAAACGGCATAATCTCGCCTGAGCACAGTTGCAACAATCACGCCCCCTTCAATAAAGTGTTAACCTTGCACACCCCTAAGTACACACCAGTTCTGTGCCAACCATGCTGCCACCTGAATTTAATAAACTCTCAAAGCGACGACACTACACATTCCCAAGCTTCGTAGCATGTAAAGGCTCCTGTGCTTACATCAATGGAGTTGTTCTCCGCCAGAGGAGCTCCGCTGTCGACGGGAGTCCAGCCTTCATTGGTAACATCAATTCGCGAATCATTCCTATCTGCTCCCGGGTTTCCTAGAAAACCACCACCATACATAAAACCGCATCAGACTCTAAAACCAACATAGTAAAAACACAACAACAGACTCAACACACATTAGCTGGTCGACCTCTACAGAAACTCCAGCACTTGAGATTGCAGATTGGTGCTCTTCCGTCATTCAGACCATGGCCTTCAATTTTGAAAGGAAAAACTTTGACCAAGCAACTACCAAATTTAGTTTATGCCCAGATTTCGCAGTCCACAAGCTCGAAGAAACCACTACATTTTTCTACCACGAGGCATTTTCTTCGCATAGCATTGGTTTTGTCATAATACCACAGAGCCATGTCGAAGAGCTTAGGATGCTTCATGATCAGGACAGGTTACAAGACAGTTACAACTGGATTGATCGATTCGTACAGGAGAGGACTCAAAGTTTTCACAATTACCCGGAAATACCTCCGCCATCTCGACATCATTTTCAATATTTCTTCCACGAACAGCAATCGCTTCAGACTCTTCAGGTTCGATTTCATCCATCAAACGTTGAAGTTCCTTCATGTGATTCTCGCATTTAAGCTTGTCATATACAGTTTCAGACTCGGAACGATTGAGTTCACTCTCCAGAAAAGAAATTTTATTGCAAAAATTCTTATTTTCTAGCACCAGCCCCTCGATTTCGGCATCCCCCATTTCCTGCAAAATAGTACGCATTTCATCCCATTCAGGACTGACTCCTACCAAGCGGCATAATCTCGCCTGAGCACAGTTGCAACAATCACGCCCCCTTCAATAAAGTGTTAACCTTGCACACCCCTAAGTACACACCAGTTCTGTGCCAACCATGCTGCCACCTGAATTTAATAAACTCTCAAAGCGACGACACTACACATTCCCAAGCTTCGTAGCATGTAAAGGCTCCTGTGCTTACATCAATGGAGTTGTTCTCTGGTAGAGAGGCGAAACTGTGAATGGCAAGAAGACCTTTTTTGGTAACACCAATTCGCGAATCATTCGTATCTGCTGCCGCGTTTCCTAGAAAACCACCACCATACATAAAACCGCATCAGATTCTAAAACCAACATAGTAAAAACACAACAACAGACTCAACACACATTAGCTGGTCGACCTCTACAGAAACTCCAGCACTTGAGATTGCAGATTGGTGCTCTTCCGTCGTTGTGACCATGGCCTACAATTTGAAAGGAAAGTTTTTGACCAAGCAACTACCGAATTTCGGTATGCTTGGATTGAGCTGTCCACAAGCTGGAAGAAACTGCTATGTTTCTCTACCACGAGCCATGTCTTCACATAGCGTTGGTTTTGTCATAATACCACAGAGTCATGTCAAAGAGCTTAGGATGCTTCATGATCAGGACAGGTTATAAGACAATCACGACAACTGCAATGATTGATTCATGCAAATGACGACTCAAAGTTTTCACAATTACCGTCAAATAAGATAAACTTGCACTCATTTTGAAGAATCCTGTCAATGAAGGCATTCGATTCAGCTGCACGACGTTCTGTTTCAGCCTTTTCACGTTCAACTCCAGCCTTGTAACGTTCGAATTCATCTTTTATAACAGAATATCCATTTTCTGGCAAACCACCAGCATATATAAAGCCGGATCGGATTCTAAAACCAACATAGTAAAAACACAGCAGCATGCTCAACAGACATCAGCTAATCCACGGTTAAAGAAACTCCGAAACTTGAGATTGCAAATTTGTGCTCTTACCCATTAAAACCATGGTCTACCGTTTTGAGCGTAACGATTTGGAGCAAATAACTATCGAGTTCAGATGATGCCCAGATAGCACTGTCCACAGGCTGGAAGAAACTATTGCACATATCTGTAAACCCCTTCATTCTCAGACGCGTTGATGGCTATGCATATAGACTCCCCATTTTCATCTAAGACCAGAACACCCAATTTTCACAAGCCCCTTACCGGACTGAAGACATCTATTCTTATCAACGATCACTTCGTTCGTCTGAGCAAGTTCTTCGGGAGCATAGCCACAGGCACTCTGCAAATTAGAGCCAAGTGTTGAACTTATAAGAACATTTTAGCAAAAGGCTGCAAAAAAAAATCTCCAAATACAACGTTGGCATAAAGATATATACGCAAACAGACGACTTGACTAGCAGTTTAAAACCAAAACTCACCCACTTCCGAAAACTCTCGTCGCCCAGAAACATCTTCCATGCTTTGACCGCTTTCACAGCCTTATTCACTATTGCGTCCTTTAATTTCTCTAAAGGCAGGGAATCAGGAAATGGATTGTTAAGGATAAAAGCTTGTAAAAAATCCCAATCAGAATTCAGCTTCTGAGGCTTTTTGCTTGCCTTAGTTTCCAGCTTCGCAAGGTCATAGATTAATGCTCCCTCTTCCCACGAGTCACATTCCCTACAAAGCTTTATACCACGCCACCTCACGTCGACAGTATACCGGCCATTGCGACGACGGTAGGCAACTCCCCGAAACTTCTTCCGAATGTCACCCACGGTGTCTCCCGATTTCATGTTCGAGCTTAAACGTCGTCTCTTCGCAGGAACAGCCTTCGCATTTGAGGATTGTCCCCTTCCAAGAGCCATCTTCGGTACGCTTGTTTTGTAAACCCCACAACCTGAAACCCCTTGTCCTCCCGCCTTCTCGCTCTGGCACTCATGAAAAATCACCCGCATTACACGATCATGCAAGACAACAAAGAAATCGAGGTTTACTACGCCGCATGGTAAAAGTGCAGAAAAGCTTCACAGTGCAACAATCAGCATCGAAAAACAACTGCTAAACAAACAAACCTTACAGACACAACGGACGAACTTAAAATTCGAGCGCTACAAAGCAGCATGGCAAAAATGAAGAGAAGCTTCAAAATTGCAAAAATTAACATATGCTATATAGCTGAGAAGCTAGCGGACAATGGCAGACAATCACAGAATTGTAGGGCCCGCGCTCGGGTGATATGGAAACTAAGCAGGTGGAGGTCTCTGCTTGTGAAGGTCCTGAGCAAATGTCCAACCAGATTGAAACCCAATTACCTCTCTGATTCCTCGTTGTCACTATTTACCTTTGCTTCTGAAAACCAAAGATATATCTGATCACACTTTAAAGTTCCAACCCAACATAACATGGGTTATGTAAACTAAGCATCCGAAAATAAATAAAGAATAAAAACACACTTACAACATGGTTATTCAACTTTTAAAATTACATGGTTGGATGATGCAATTAAAAATTTGGCATTAAAATTAGTAACCATATGCTATACATGGGTTTGGTTTCTGCTTCAACTATCATTAAATTTAGATAGATAAATAAATAAATAAATAAATAAATACATACATACATAGAAGTAAGGAATATAACGAATATGTTACCTTAGTAACATTTTGATTACTTTCAACATTTTTCTTTAAAAAAACAATAAAATTCCAATTAATTTAAACTTGAATGCTTTCATCCAACAAGCAGAACAAATGTATAATTTTCAACAAAAAATCAAATTTTACTCCTAGATAAATTTTTATTTTTTAAGTTCCTATATTATATCTTAAATAGGTAAAAAAATAGAAAATAAATATTTTAATTTCATATTTAGGAAATAAATGTAACAAGAAAATTACATAAATTCCTAAAGTTCCTTCTGTTACTTTACTTTCCAAACTCCAAAACTCCCAAAAGACACCCTTTCAAGAAAATAGCTTCCAAAACTTTTTTCTTTTTAGCATTTTCAACACTTTCAATTGTAAGATATTGTTTCTAATTTATTCTAGAATCAATCTACCAAATCTTAGATACTGGGGTCATTGCATGTGAGAGATCATAACATTCGAAGGTTGAGGGAAAAGTTTTTCCTAGTGTTGCACAAAAGGCATAGTAAGACTTGTGCTTGGTACAATTTCTACTTGTGACTCCAAACTTTTTAGGAAATGTTTTTTCAAAGATATCCTCAAGTTGAGCACATGTATGCAAAATCTTAGAGCAAAGAGACATGTATAGCATCTCCAATTAAATTGTTTTCAAGAAGTAGATAGTTAAAAAACTAGTTACAAAAAAATTGTTCCAAAAAATTGTACCATTTTCAAAAAAAAAACATCTGTAAGATAGAGGATGACTACATCAGGTATTGTTGAAATCATTTCGATGACAATGTCTTCAACAACCTGGGTTCCTTGGATTGATCTTCCCCTCCTAAATGCGAACAGAGGAACCTAATATCATCCTCTTGACGGCCATCAGTTTCAAATGGCTTCAATACAAAACCCTCAAACGCAAACTACCAGCACTTCATTCTTCTAACATGTTCGGGAAACAATTACAAAATATTGCCTTCGAAAGAAGCTCTCCAGGACTAAACATGCTGAACGAATATGAAAGAAAATGAAAGAGAATTAAAGGATATGCAAGAGTACGAAAGACTGCAAGAGTTCAGGATCGACGCCATCAGGCATGGAACGGTTGGAAAAGGGGGTTGCAGGTGATGCCTACACACGCTGCACAGCCTAGCTCCCAGCCTGCTTTACAAAGCGTTGTGGAATGCAAATGCGAAAGAGCCTCTTGGTGACGCATCAGAGCACAACCCACTAAGCAAAATCACAAAAGTGGTACAGATCACGAAAGAGTTTCAACGTCAAGGTTCAAGGTTACCACCGAGAGGTGTTGCAACTGCAACTGGAGCTGGAGCTGGATCTGGTTTGACAACAGCAGCAGCCTCTTACACTAGAGGAAGTGGACGAGAGCGATAGCAATCCTCAGGCTCCGATGCTTCATGTTGGTGCTTGAGCTGGAGAGGGGGCAGCCTTGAAGCTCTTGCTCCTGTTTCGACCCGCCGTATTAGATCCCAAAAATCCTCCTAAGCTCTCGAGGTTCAAGTACTTTCGTGCCACTTATACCTGTCTTTGCAGCAACAACATTGTTTGTGACTTTCAGACCTCGTATCGCCTTACCGAGCTTTCTACATGATATCGCCTGTGCAAAAACTCCATTCGAAAAATCTGTTACATTCAGAACAGATTCCAAGCACTTCACAATCCAAATTCCATGACACCCTGCGCAACCAAGCCCGAGAAACAACACGACCAAACTTCATTCATGGTAAGTATGTACTGGCAACTCATAAAAAAGTATCAGTAATAAGCAAATCATGTTCAATGAATCCAAAAAGACAATGACTTGAAAACAAAATTACCGAGGGACCGACGGAAGCTAAGTTCCAAACCAGATCGCGCCTAATTTTGATTACAAGGTTCTGTACAGGGTGCAGGTTTCTGACTTCTACAAATACTTACATAGCCAATTACCAACTGGAAAACCACGCATCAATTCCCCTCATTAGCTCTCCACCGCAACATCCTCATTTCTATTATTCCTGATTTCCTCTTCGCAACTCGATCCACTTCCACAGATCATAACATACGATCACGAACTCAAAATTCCCAAACACTCCGATCTTCTACAATGAACAACTTTATCACACACATCCCGAAAATATCAGTAATTCCAAAGCACTACCTCCACAATCCATCAACCACTCGTTTGGCCTCAGGAACGAACTATGTTTGCGAGCCTGATCCATACGCCTTTTCCCAGCTATCACAGTACCATTCCTTAATAGCATCACACGCTCCGCAAATCGCTACCCTTGCAATCGACTGCACCCAAACTACCACCAGCACTCCAATCCACTCTGCTTCTCCAAAATCCTTCGCAATCACCGCAATCCAATCACTAAAACCTTGTTGCTACCCTGCTTGATTCAATGCAGCACCGCCACATCTTTTCCACCTCAAAGAATTCCCGTCCTTGCCCAAAGTTGCTCTAACCTAGTTCAAGGTTGTAACACAAAACCACCACTTTGACCTCACTACTCCCCGCTTAGAACAGTTCAGGGTACCACCACATCGACACACATGCTTAAAACATCCAAAATCTTTTTCGTAGTCAAGTGCACGCATTCTCCACATTCACCACTTTCTTTGCACAAAAAGCAGGATGAACACCAAATCTACATGTTGAAGCACGCCATCTCCTCCAGAGCTGTAAAAAACAGCGAAAGGTTTAGAAGGCGTCTTGTAAGCCCGGCTTATGTGCTTGGCAAGGTTCATTGTAACAACTGTTCCGTTATCGGATGTGGTTTTATTTCTCACCTGTACCCACAAACAGATTGTGATTTGAATCACATTGCAGTTAAAGCATGGGACATGCAGATACGAAAGCCAGAAACAAGATGAGTGAAGAGAAGAGATCGATATATCAGAGAGACAAGATAGAAAAAGAGGAAAAAGAATGTTATCATTTACGTTTCTACAAATATGACACATATTCACAACTTTAGACCATTCTTGTCCTACTCAAAATCCAAGGCATGTGCAAAGATGAAATCTCTTCGCTTCATACCTGACGAAATCCTAAATTCTCTTCGACTGAGCTCCCATAGATTCGCACACAAACTAACCTCATTTATGAACTCCAAGAATATGTGATACCGTCAAATATGGTTGCCACAAAGACACACACAGTAATTTCAGCTATTCAACCTCCATCTACAAAATCTCACTCTACAACATCTCACCAACATAGCAATGATGATCTATCTACCCAGAAATACTATTTTCATCGCATTTTAGGAGGGGAGGAGCAACTGCTAGTGCTAGCACACACATGAAGATACATTGCAGTGCCTTCCTAGTATATTGTAAGTAACTTCCAACTTCCTCTCGTTCTCGCTTCAACTTGGTTCCCACATACCAAGTTCCGTAACACCACCTGCACTTTCCGCTTCAACTTCACAACGCATTCCTGGTAGATAACAAACAGTACACATGAACAAGACTTGAAACCCGAGGTCTCTCCATTCTGCAGATAGGAGAATGCTGATAAATGCGTACAAGGAAATACGGCTTGATGGGTACCATGTACAAGTAGAATCCTACCTAGTTTTGATCTACATTAGGTTTCCCTGCCACGACCAATTTCTCCAGATAGCATTGGTTTTCTCGTCCTGTCCCATAGCCATTTCAGAGACCTTAGGATACTTCATGATCCGAACAGGTTTTAAAACGATCACGACAAGTACACTGATCAAATCATACAAGTGACGACTCACAATTTTCACGGTTGCGTCATACGAAGACCACCACCTCGTCGTATCGAGGAACATCAAGCAAGACAGCAGTCTCATACCGTTTATCTGGAACACAAATTATCATACGTTAAAATTGCAAACTGTTCAGGGACCAAGAATAAAACCTCATGCGCACTCCAAACGCATGTCAGACAATATTTCTACAGAATGACTCCAAATGCTTTAGATTCCGCTACTACTATTGTTATAATACTTCTCAAAATTACATGCCACTTAACGTTCATGTCAAGTACCGATCACAACCCAAACATAAGGTTCACGCATGTGCGAATTTTGGCAATGCAGGCCAACGTGGAAAAGGCCAAATAGGAAAATTGCATGCGATCAAAAGAGAAATCATGTGACTGGTGGTTTAACGCATGATACCCAGGTCAGTGTAGTTTGGCATCAAATCTGTTTTCCCGCAGATGCTTTCAGTCATAAGGCGTTTATTTTCTTCCTTAAGACGGTCATTTTCGGCCTTAACACGGTCATAAGAACCCTTGAAATAACGAATTTCAGCCATGAGTTTCTGGATAACGGCATCTTTCCCTTCCTGCATAAACACAAATTAAAATTAAAATTCGAATTCATCCCATTCAGCACTGGCTCCTACCCAGCAGCATTGTCTGGCCTGAGCCCAATTGCAACAATCACGACAGCTTTACCAATTGTTCATCTTACACTCAGCTAAGTCCACCTCACTTCTGTTCGAATCATGTTGTCTACTGACGAATTTGTTGGGAGCATTCGTTCGTGATCTTGCGAAGCTGCAAGATAATCCAAGGGTGCCCCGTCAGAATCTGAACTCTAATAAGGTTTTCTTAGAAAAGTTTATCAGTGACAATCCATTTCCTGTATCGCTCCCTAGGGAAGAATTGATGGCAGAAATAATGAATATGGCACGGAAAGCGTTGGAAGAATGGGAGAAGATTCTAGGTCCTGAGGATTTTCAAGAGTGGGTGAGTTCTGATTTTTTCACTGGCAGTCAAGTCAACTATTTTCGTGTATATCTCTATGCAAATGTTGTATTTGGAGTGTTTTTTTGTAGCCTTTTCCTAGAATGTTCTTCTGAGTTCAACACTTGGTGCTAATTTGTAGAGTGCCCGTGGCTATCCTCCCAAAGAACCTGCTTCAACCAACGTAGACAACATGGACACGGATAGATTTCTTCAGTCCGGTAAGGATCTTGTGAATTTTCGGTCTTCTGATCGAATGGGGAATCGAGAAGCGTGGCTTTCCTGGCGTCTGAGAGTGAAGGGGTTTACAGATATGTGCAACAGTTTCTTACAGCCTTTGGGCAGTGCAATCTGGACACTAGCTAACCAAAATTAGTCGAACCAAAAATTCAACAAAAAGATTATAATAAAATTCTTCTAAATTACTTATTTCACAAACTTTCTTTAATAAGACTTTTATCTAATCTATCTTCTCTTTGTTGTGGGCCAAAATGATCAAATTATTAATATAAAAGATTATGAGAAATAAAAATTCTTTCAATTAGCATTATATACGAAGAATGATTAATCTTACTACTTACAAATCTTTCATTAAAAAAGAATGTATTAATATGTTGATATCATGTTCTTTATATTTTTTTGAGTATATATAAGGTATTCTTTAACTTTCACATAAGTTGTTTTTTGCTTTGTTATACAAATCTTTGAGGCTTATTCTTTTAGATATCTTTTTATAACTCTTCAATTAAAAGGTTTTCTTCAAATCCATTTGGTATATTTTTAAGTCTATTATTGCCTTAATTGTCACAATGGTCCTAGTAGTGGTGAATTTATATAAAAACATTAAATCATACAAAGACTTCTTATTGTATGCATCTTATTGTATGCAAATATTCATCTTTTTTTTGTATCCAATGTAGCTTGTTGTATACAATAAGATACAATTAAGATAATGCATCTTATTGGATGTAAACTTTATATTATACAAAGAGAAAGGATTAAAAAAGAGATGAATATTTATACATATTTGCATTCCAAACATTCAACATTATTACTTTTGGTAATCATTTTGCTATCCAAAATACATTAGTAAATATGTGAACACATAAATTCTCACACCTCAAGAATCATAAGGTATTCCTTCTATGTTTCTACATAAGAATTATTTTTATATTGGTTCTAAGTCCTTAGAATTCATATTTTTATTTAAACCAAGGTCAAATAATTCAACTTTAAATCTATCTTCAATATATTTTTCAATCTTGTCTTGTCTTTTTTAACCTAGTCTTCAAAGTCCTTGTACTAGAAAACATCTATATTTTCATGAACTTCATCTTGACTTTATCTTCTTCAACCTAGTCTTTAAAGATCTTTCTTCCTTATATTAAGAAACCTCTATATCTTCATGACCTTTATCTTGAAACTCTTACAACCTATTAATAGATCAAAAATATATGATGAAATGATATATAAGTATGTCAAATGTAATCTCTTTATTATGATTTATTTTTTGATAATTATAACACAACTTTAGAGCTATTTATAATTTTGTTATAGTGAATTTTTTAATACTATTTAAACATAATAAAACTAAATTATTTCTAACTGCTATAACTATTAAAGGTGATTTCAACCACCTTGTCTTTTAAACATATGGACAGCTAATCCTTTTGTCTTTTTGTATCCATTTATTTTTTTCTAATTTTATTTATACTTACTTCTATAATTTATTTTTATACTAAGCCTTTTTTTTTATAATATATTTTTTTAATTCTTTTATCTAAATTTTTTTATAATATTTTTTTAATAAAATAATATTTTTATTTTATTAATTCACTAATTAATGTGATTTCTAAGGTTATCATTACTCTTTCCTTTCCTAATTAATTGGTTTCACCCGATTAACTATTAAAATCTAACATATATATCATATATTTTGAACACATTGAAATCTTTTATTTTTTATCTTTATTTTTTTATAAATAATAAATTTCTTGATCTTTGACTTCTAAATTTTGATGTAATAATTTTTTTTTACGTTTTTAAAATTTTTTTTCCTTCTAAAATTTTATATCATTAGTTTTAATAAGAATTGAGTCATCTTTATGTATTTGAATTGCATTGAGCTTGTTGTAATTGTTTTTGTGATAGCTTAAAATATCCTCTTGAATTTTCCTTGACTTGTTTTGATATGTTGTCTTATCTTCCAAGTTGTTATGTAATATATCTTTATATTTATTTTTGGTATTAATTGTCATATTCTATTATAAAGTACTAAATTCATGTATTGTATGACAATTTAAGAAGCTCTTTACATCCAATTTATTTTTTAAGTTAGAATTAAGAGCTAAGTGGTGGTTAGGTTTTAATAAATAGTGACTATCATTTAATAGTCATCTTTCTTTACTCCCACTATCAATAAAAATTGGGGGCAATAGTGAGGCCGCCTTGAATTCCTTCAATAGAGATTGATAGAACTACAATAGGTAACTACTAAGGCTACTACTTCTCTTTTTTATCTATAGATAGATGGTTGTTATGGTATTATGTTGTGATTTGGCTACCATGTGAAAATAATGTACATATATATATATATATATATATATATATAATTTATTATATAATGTAATGAGAGCGACATTATTACATTTTAGTTGGTTACAGTTAGATTGCTACTTTGAAGAAATTAGTCTAAAAGGGCTACTATTGAGGTTGATTTTTATTTTAATAATAGTTTTTATATATTTAGAGCCACCTTTATTAAACATTGGTGATTCTTGAAATCTTATTTTGTTTCTTTTACATAGTATTTAGGACACATATTATGTAAAACTTATTAAAAAAAAAGATTAGAGAAAGATTTTTGAATAAAAAAGAAAAGTTAGGCCATTCATATGGATGAATGGAGATAGATGATGAAAATCTCCATTCCTATTGGCTAAAAGTCATGCCTAATGGCCTTCAAAGAGAGTGTCCAAGGCCTTATTAGGAATTAGGATTATTTTTTTGAAAACATTCAAATATCAAAGGTTAGGATCATCAAATTTAGGATTTTGGATATGATTTTGGTGCAAATTTTTTGCAATTTGGAGTTTTTTAAAAAGTCAAGGTATATTTGCTCAAAGTTAAGATATTAATTTTATACCTACTATCACTCTTTGGAGCATAGCATATGCATATGAAGGACTTTTGAAAATCAAATTATGCCATTAGAAAGTTGGTTTAAAGGACTATATTTTTATACAAAAAAAAGATTTGAGTTGATTTAAAAGAGCAATAACTACTTAAAGATAATACTCTCAAATTGAAATTTGTAAGCAAACCAATTTCATGAGAGATTTGGTTCTATCCATATTTTAGGCATTTAGACGAATCTTTGACTAATTTTTTTTATAAATATATGTTATTAAGTTATAAAGCTATATATCTAATTTTTGGCATTTAAATAATGGATTTTTGAGAGATGAATAAAATAGTATTCGTGTGCTTATAAATTGGGGTTTAGAGCACCTATTAGTATTTTTAAGATATTAGAAGATTGGAAGTAGATGTATGGTTGATTATTTTTGATGGTAAATCTTAAAAATATATGTTACATTATCAATAAATTTGAAGAAAATTAAACAATTGAATCAAGGGATATTAGATCTTAAAGTTTAAAAAAATTAGAATCCTAATAGATAAAAAAGATGTAGGAGGTTTTTGGCCACAATTTTGGATCTTTTGTATAAATCAAGGTTTTTTTTTAGAAAATAAGACTTTATATATTTTTTATATCAAAATTTTAACATATCTATATTAAAAATAAATCATTTATTGGAACTTGGCAAATAAATTATAATTAATTTTTTTATAATTAGGCATACATTAAATTTCCAAATCATAAATCATGTCATACAATAACAGCCATTACTTTTTTTTATTTATAAATGGATAGCTATTAAGGTTGCCATTCTTCTTTTTATCTATAAATAAGTGGCTATAGAGATGACCACCTTTCCTTCTCTCTATCAACGTACAAAAAAGAAATTTGTTGGAATCGTCTTTTATCATGTTTGTCTTGTTGCTATTGATGTCGATTTCAGAAAAATACTATTTAAAATTACAATTTTGGATTTTAGTATGATAGTAGTGTTTCTTGCAAGATTGGATGTTGTTGAGTAGAGCTTTGATTGAATAAACATGGTTTTTGCAATATTGAGTTATGCCTTGTTTACAAAGTGGATTGCCTTAGCTATTATAGTCGCAAAGTAGTGTTTGGTATGGCTCCTCCTTAGAGTGTGGTAAGTAGTCTTGATTCTATACTATATGTTATTGATGCATCATTGTGGAAAATTTTGTGTACTAATTAAAACCTATTTCTTATAGAAGCTCTAGTTCTATTTTGATGTCTCACTTAATATTACATCATGGTTGATTTTTTTCTACTTTTTTTTACTATATTTTGCAATAAGCTAGAGCACTAAGCATGTAGATGCTTTACAATTTGTATGAGCTAGATAAAGATATTTTGCAGTGTGATTGGTTGCCAAGCAAGTAGTTGCTCTCCTTTAATTGTATAATTTGAATCTAATTGGCAAAGAATATCAATTGAATAAATAAAAGAAGAATTTGTAAGAAAATTAAAGTGTCATTGTTAAATCTAAAGAATTAATCTATTATTACTAAATTTACTAAAATTCTAATTATATCCATTAAAAGTAATTTATAATACATTCTAGTAATTGAATTTGATACATTGACTTGTAGCTTTTTCTATTTTATTAAATATATTTTTTTATTATAATTTTTGTGTGCTACTTTATGGATCTTATTTATTTCTTCATTTTGCTTAATGATGCTCTGTCATTTATTAATACCTTATTATTGATTGATATCCTATTATTTATTGATATTTTGCTACCAAATAATACTATGCTATTGATTAGTATCATGTAGTCAATTGATACTTTATCATCAATTAATACTTTACTATTAAGTAATACCTTACAGTCGGTTGATGTCATGTAATTGCTTTGTAGCTTGTAATCAGTTGACACCTTTCTTTTAGGTAATACCCTCTTATCAATTAGTATTCTAATTTTATTATTAGTTTTTAGAGTTATTATTTCTTCTACTATACATAGTATCCTAGAAAGAAAAAATAGTTATAAATCTTTAAAAATAGACCATAATCTCTCTTATATCTCTAATAGAATGTTTTTTGTTGCTTCATGAGCATTTTTTTATATTTTTTTGCACTTTCTAGCATAAAAACATCTACATTCAAATTATTTATGTGATCAAATAACCATTAAACTTTCTTAGGTGTAAAATTGTCATCTATTCTTGAACTATCTAAAATATTCATTATATCATTTTTTTATCATTTTAATATTTAAAATATTAATAACTTACTTAATTTTTTTATTTAATAGTTTCTAAATATTGCCTATATACTTCATTTGCTTCT